CGTCCATCCTCCAAACGCGCACGCACTTCTCCTGACGCTTTGCACCACACGGTCCCTGATTTGTACCTCTCCAGCTAGTGGCCCTGTCGAAGCACCAGCACCAATCTGGCCAGTTCCATGTCCGGCGCCACTGACGTATGCGATATCTCCACGAAGCCGTCGTAGCGCCGGCTGGGGTCCGCGGTTTGATTCGCGAATATATTCCAAAGCATAGCATGCTCACTGGTCGGTCATCGCCGTTTGCCAGTCACACGTCGCAAAGGCAGCAACGTACTACGACAGAATCAAGGCAGCTCCAACTTGAACAACACTCGATTTGAACATTGACAACATGTAACGCACATGTTTGCGTCAGAACCTATGTGGGTTCTATGATCGCCGAACTGGCCCACTCAACGCTGCGAGATCGCCCAGGCCGCATATCTTCCCCGCGCTAATAGCATCGTGACGATTTCCAAGGTTGCCAACATGGCCAGCTTGCCATTCTATCGAGTAGGGATCACGTGAAAACATACCACACCTCAACGCCTGTCACTGCTTACACCTTGTCTTGATCTGCATACGTGTAGCATTTTCTTAGTATGGCGTCGTCAGCGTCGCGCCTTCCGCCTCTGCCACTACCAGACGGTATCGTCGAGAACTACGTCTACTGCCCCTCCAATGGCCTTACTTTTCACACACTCGAAGCTGGCTATACTCCGCAACGCGATAAGCCTCTGATAATTCTATGTCATGGCTTCCCAGAACTCGCCTTTTCTTGGAGGAAGGTCATGGTGCCTATCGCTGAGGCAGGCTATTATGTGGTAACCTTTGATCAGCGAGGATACGGGCGGACAACTGGCTGGGACAACTCTTCCTACTCCAACACAAACTTATCGCAGTTTGCTCTGACCAACGTGGTTCGCGATGTCGTGACCCTGGTCAATGCTCTGGGTTATCGAGAGGTCAAGTGCATTGTTGGCCACGACTTTGGTGCCGTCACTGCAAGCATGTGTGCTTTGATGCGTCCGGATTTCTTCAAGAGCGTTGTCATGATGAGTCATCCTTTCAAAGCGCCCGCGCTCTTGCCATTCGACATAGCCCACGGTGACGGTGAGACTGACGGACACGCGCCACAGCCGGACATCCACGCTGAGCTGGCGAATCTGCCTGTGCCGAGGAAACATTACAAGTGGTACAACAGTACCAATAGAGCTGCAGGCGATTGGCTAAACCTAAGCCAAGGATTGCATGCTTTTCTCAGAGGGTATCTTCATGTCAAGTCAGCTGACTGGAAAGAGAACTCGCCTCACCCTCTTAAGAGCTGGACGGCTGAAGAGATGGCTAAAGTACCCAACTACTACGTTATGCCGTTGCACAAGTCAATGCCTGATACCATTGCTGACATGATGGTCAACCAAGATAGCTCGGCAACCGAACGGTGGATGCCTGATCGGGATTTGACAGTCTACGTCCAAGAATGGTCACGAACAGGCTTTCAAGGTGGCCTCAACTACTACCGAGTTACCACTGATCCGAATAATATGAGAGACCTCCACCTGTTCGCGGGCAAGAAGATCGAATGTCCGAGTACCTTCATCTCAGGCGCTAAGGACTGGGGCAACTATCAGCAACCTGGGGCCATCGAGGCCTATCCCGAGTCATGCTCCGACTTTAGAGGGGTCCGGTTCATCCAAGGTGCAGGACATTGGCCTCAACAAGAGCAGCCGGAGAGTGTTGTTGAAGAAGTACTAGGATTCATTCGCTCTCTTTAAGTGGGTTGCAGTTGCGACGTGTACAGATGTCTGCAGATACATGCGATCCTATCGATTTATCAACTCTTGCGTCTCCATATTACCTGTATTGTTTCGGGCTGAATCCAGCCACCTACTAAGGGCATCCCTTCCACATCGGCTCATCATCTTGTTGAGGTCGCTACGCCGCCACGCCGCAATTCCTTCTCATGCTTCTCAGCAAGAGCTGCTGTCCGGTCGCTCCCTATTGCCCGGCATTCGGGCCCGCAGCCAGATCCGTAGTCAAGCACTGTCGGTATTGTGGTATTAGGAAGCTCTATAGTCGAGATCCACTATTATCACACGCTAAGCTACGCAATGCAACGTCAGTGATACATTAAGACACCACAAACGGCGCAAAACGTCAAGCCAAACGCTTATCCAATTTTGCGCAGGTTATTTCCACTCAAAATATGACCCGGAGCTCTATTTCAGGTCGACAGGAGACGTACATACATGTGCATTATAATGATAGCGAAGACGACTTTGGGGTCCGATCGATCGGAGGATTTGAAACGAGCTGACAATGTCTTTGTATTTAGAAGCTAGAGCTAATTGCGAGTACATCGGGGCTCGCTTGGCTGCGGCAATGCGGCGTGGGCGTCTATTTCCCCTGATTTCGTATGCAGCTCGCGGCAGTGCTGACTCGGCGCTAGAGCCGTTTCCTGATGATATGTGCTTGGCACATCATCCATCATCAACGTGCAGCGTACACTTGCCTCATTGTGGATTACCAGATTATGAGATGGGCAGGATAGCACTGTATAAGTTGGAAGGACGGGACGAGGCGATCGTGCAGTTGTGCACAGGGGACTTTCACTGATTCGCAAAAATGGCCACCTCTACTACAACTCCTTCAGTCGCTTCTTCCCGTACTTCACCAGTTCCTTTTACCAACTCTATTGCAAAATTGCGTCAATCGGTCGAGTACTGCCGAGAGATCACGCCCCATAGCCGTCGTAGCGTTTCCCTCGATCACAATCAGCCTCTTATTCATGGCACATGCGCTCATGTCATGCCCAGTGTGGTCCGGCCAATCGACAAGTCAAACACTTCATTAGATTCACTCGATCAGACCCTCGACAGCTGTTCTGTTTCGGACGTGTCTGAAGATGGACACGCCGATACCAACAACCCCAACGAAGCCAAGACCTACCGAAGTAGTCGCCAAGACACGTACGATCCTTTGGACGAGACATGTTATCAGAAACCGTACCATATGCCACAGGAAACGCATAGTAAATCGAAGAAGTCTCCGCAGACAGAATACGTAGAGGTCTATAAAGGGCCACTGCTGAAGCCTGTTGACGAGAAGAACATTGGCATCAAATCATCAGTGACAGTGTCTTCACACGCTCTATCGTCCACGGGGTCTCTGTCATCGGCGGAGACCAGACCTCGACAACGAGTTCTAAGCTTTTACCTTCATTGGTTCACAGCATATCGGATACTCATCGGGCTCACCTTTCTAGTTAACGTCGTAGTGTTCATTGTGCACATTAGAAAAACTCGCCACGAGCATTTTGCCCTTTCTGGACCTCTAATCGCTACGGCCGCCAATATCTTCGTTGCCGTCTTTGTGCGTCAGGAGGACCTCATCAACGTAAGCTTCTCCTTCGTAGCCAAAACACCAGCTAGCCTGCCGTTATGGCTCCGGAAGACGATTGCAGACTTTCACCACTACGGCGGACTACACATTGGATGCTCCGTGGCAGCACTGCTATGGTACTGTTACTTTGTGTTCCTTAACACAAATTTCGTTCTCGACACTGTAAAGCAGGACAAGGCTACGGGCTGGATGTGGGCCGACATCTTCACTTGTTACGCCTTCCTCCTATCCATCCTAGTCGTCTGTATTCTAGCACTCCCGCGTCTCCGAGTGAGATTTCACGACACGTTCGAACACACGCATCGCTTTGGTGGATGGGCAGCATTACTAGCACTATGGATAAATGCAGGCGTAGCTAGCAATAACCCGGGCAGTTCACCTCTCTATGCCAACGCCGCTCTCTGGCTCCTAGCCTCGACAACCTTTCTCATAATCCTACCATGGACCCGCATCCGCCGCGTACCCATAACCGCCGAAGCTGTTTCAAGCCGCGAAGTCAAGCTTACATTCCCTTACCAAAATATGCCCTATACTTCCACAACCCGCTTCTCACTATCCCCGCTTCTCGAATGGCACGCCTTTGCCACGATCCCTATCCAAGCCTCATCTACACCAACCATCTCCTCCGCATATATAGTCATCTCGGCAGCGGGTGACTGGACAAAGTCCATCATCACCTCCCCACCTACTCACATCTGGCTTCGCAAACCTGCCACCAAAAACTTCCTCTCCTTCGCCCCATTGTTCGACTCCCTCCTCCTTATAGCCACAGGCGCAGGTATCGGTCCCTTGCTCTCCCTTTTGAGCTCACCAGCTATCGCACACATGCGCGAACAGGGCAAGCAGGTTAGGGTCATGTGGGTTGTGTATGATCCTAATGCGGAGCATTGGGGGTTCGCGCAAGATATTATACGGAGAGTGGATCCGGAACCGAAGATCTTTGACTCTAGGGAAGGGAGGCCCGATGTGGCGTGTGAGGCAGAGGTTATGAAGAAAGAGTGCGAGTTGGAGGCTGTTATGGTCGTTAGTAATCCGAAGGCTACAAGAGAGGTCGTTGAGAGGATCAAGGGGAACGGGGGTGCAGCTTACGGGGCTGTGTTTGACTCTTAGGGTTGGGGTGCGTTGTACTGACCGGGTCGCCAGGTGCTTATTCGTTATGTTTTCATGTGTCTATTCTGGTTGTTCGGCCTCAGAAGCTGAGCTCTTTTGAGTTGGGTGGGTTGGCGAACCGACCCTTCATAGCATTCATTATGGCGTTTTTTAATGGACGCAGGCGTGTGTCCATATCGTTTAACCGTCAAACTTAGCCGCGTAAAGCCCTTACAAGGCTCTACTATGATACTCTGATACCAATGTTTTCAGAAGCACTGCTGAGAGATCGTAGTATAGGGTGTAGATGTGTGCGGATCGTTGCAAGTACGTGATGCATGTTTGCACGACGGTTTCTTCGAGCTGAAGAGCCATCTTATTATTCTTCAACCACCATTACCATTAACACATTAACCTAGAAGCTAAAAAGTACAAATCGTTCCTCTCCCGTACTTATCACCAACGCACTCCTGGTATCAAGACGTCTGACTGCACCCGTATCCCTCACAACCACCATTGAATCACACCGCTTAAACCATAAGCGCAGCGAACAAGCCTCCAAACACACCCACGACCACGGAACCCATCGCCATGTTTGCTGCCGCGGCACCTGTGAACTCCGGCATGTTACCCGAAGCGGTCGCGCTGCCCATCATTCCTGATCCAGACATCATGATGATGCTTGGCTTGGTCTCGTTACTGCCAGCGGCACAGGACGGTACGGCAACAGCGGAGCGTGTCACCATTACATCGGCAGGGGCGGCGGAAGGGCAGCCTGGGTGGACTGTGAGGGTGGATGTTACGGCGGGAGATTGGCTGCGGGGCGTTAGTTGAGTTGACTATGACTGAATTATAGAAAAAAGAGGAGGTGCTAGGAGGGATAGAGGGCTTGCTTACGCCGAGACGGTGCTGGATAGCACGATAGCAGTGCTGAGAATGGATGCCGAGAACTTCATATTGGGAGTTTTAGGGTACGAATGCCGTTGATTAGATGGTGGCGTATGTAGTATATGTTACGACTACAAAAGAATGTACGACGACTTTTAGAATTTGAGGGAATGGAAAGAGAAGAAACAGTAATCGAACAGCGACTATGCCGCTTCTTTGTATCCACACCTGGCGACTTACCTCCATCATGCGCACAGTTCACCTCCTTAGTTCTTCCTCCCGAGGTTGATTCCAGTTTCTACCTTAGGATATATCGAACGCGGCAGTTCTACTCCAAGTGAACCAATGAATTACTAGCATATTGTCCTACTCGCCTCCCAAACAAGCTACAACTCACTTTCACAACTTACTAGAACCCCTTCATTTCGAACAACCGTTGGCAAGTGGCAAGATCGCAACAGAATTGCCCGGCCAGTTGTCCAAGTCTCATCGGGTTGTATGTCTTCCGAGAATACATTCATCCCAAGGTCACGTCCCCACTCTATCAGACACAGATGCAGCAGAGTTGGGTGTTGATCAACGGGCAAGAAGTTGCCGAATTTCAAAAGGCGCGGGAGGGAAGGAAACACTCACGGCTGCTAGAACCAAGCTAACGGTCTAAAGTACGGAGAGACTGTGTGCCGCCGGTAGTTGGGTAGGGCGGCTAGGTGGTAAGACCAGTGGGTTGTAATTTACCTGGCTAGTTCAAGGGTAAATGGAATGTGGAGGTGGGAAGTTCCGTTTGTATTTCGAAAGTCCCTGTACTAGCGAACGGTGCTGGTTCCGGGAGTTGCGTTAGCCTTCGACGTTCAAGTTTGTAACCAGGCTGGCGGTCTAGCAGGGTGTAAAGAATCGTTATTGGAATGATAGTTTGTTCCATTAGCGTTTCCATGCATGCACAACAAAGGGAGCTTAGGAAAAGACAGAAGGCACAATCGCTTTGTAGTTGCTCCCTACCTTGGTGCAAACCAATTGCTTCCTCTTACAGCTTACGTTCTCTAAACATCCTTTCTCGACAGTCTTCCACATCCGCCGACATTACCCCTCGGAAAGTCACCTTTCCATAGTAACTCCAACGCCTTCCATGTCCTCCGGTCGTAGATCCCGTCGCGATTAAGCCACTGCAGAGAAAAAAAGCTTCAACAGCACGTGTAGTCTGAACGGGAAGAAAAGCTGACAATTGTAAGTTGTTGTCCCCTGACTAAAATGGTCATGATTAGCTGCGTACTAGAGCGGTCTTGGTATAGTTGAGCCCGTTGTGTAGTAGCGCGACGTCATTCTTGAGCTTAACCGTCCTAGCGCCATATTCGGATGGTGAAGGTTCCGTGGTACACAACATCACTAACCTGCCGCGATTTTGCGGGGAATGACTCTTGGACCCTTGCTGTTACTCGCTTCCTTCTTTCCAAGGCCTTACTCTCGTCTAGAAGTAGTAATCAAGGTCGTTGGTCTCTACCTGATCGGGACGACGGTGGATCAGTTGGTGAGGTTAGGCTGATCGGGGTCTTAGCTGCCCTGGTGCTTGGGCTGTGAGATCGCGACTGGCGCCGGATGGAATCATGTCCGTCTACGGGAGTTCGTGCCTAGCTCAGGCTACGGTAGATGATGATGAGATTGGGATGGGCGAGCTCGAAGAGGGGTAGTAAGCTTTCAGTCTTGTCTTTGCGGGAGATGAGGAAGGAGAGTAATGGTAGGTATAAGATGGAATGGTTCTCGCCGGATTGAAAGAGATATCTCATAGCATCTCAACTACTACTCTGAGCATCTCTACTACACATTCTCTTGTACTCATTACTCGATTATTCGATTTTAATATCCAACCATCAAAATGAAGTCCACCATCTTCTCCATCGCTGCTCTTGCGGCTGTCTCTACTGCTGCTCCCGTCAAGCGTGCTGATGGCCCATCCGACGGCGAGATTCTCAACTACGCCCTTACTCTCGAGCACCTCGAGAACACCTTCTACGCCCAGGCCCTCGCCAAGTACAGCGTTGAGGACTTCAAGGCCGCCAACTTCACCGAGGAGAACTACAACCGCATCATGACCATCTCGGGCGATGAGAAGACTCACGTTGAGTTCCTGACTGGTGCGCTCAGCGCTGCTGGAGCCAAGCCCGTCGAGGCCTGCACCTACGACTTCGGATACAAGGACGTTGCCTCCTTCCTTGCCACTGCTAGCATCCTCGAGGGTGTTGGTGTCAGCGCCTACCTCGGTGCCGCCGCAGACATCATGTCCAAGACCTACTTGACTGCCGCTGGATCCATCCTGACCGTCGAGGCCCGCCACTCTGCCTACGTACGCAACACCATCAGCGAGTCGCCCTTCCCAGCTCCCTTCGACAACCCATTGAGCTACAACGAGGTCTACACACTCGCTGCGCAGTTCATCAAGTCCTGCCCAGAGACCAACGCTCCTCTGCCCGTCAAGGCTTTCCCTACCCTTGCTGCCTCCGCATCCGACGGAAGCATGATGATCAAGGCTGGCAGCAAGGTCACTCTCAAGACCTCTGGATACAAGGTTGACGGCAAGGTCTACGCTGCTTTCATCACTGTTACCGGCCCTGTCTTCGTTGACGCCATGGAGGTCGAGGGTGGATTCGAGGTCATGATCCCCGAGAAGGGTATTGCTGGACAGAGCTACGTTGTTCTCACCAGCTGCAACACCGCTGCCACCGATGACACCATCATTGCTGGTCCCGCCGTTGTTGAGGTCATGTAAAGTGGTTGTCTCATGAGCAGACCCTGCGACTTCGAGTATTGTCAGCTGTGACACATTGTAGTAATGATAGTAGTAGTATTCTTAAATTCTAATTTCTAGTCTCAACTTTGTTCGCGTCTTTGGAACTGGTGAAAATCTCTACAATGCTTTGACACTAAAAAGAGGTGCATGACCCATGTGGGAGTGGTTGTTATCTGACTGTTAATTCGCAGTGCTTGTAAATTTGGCAATTCAGTGTGCAACATGATTGTAATAGCTTCATTATGTTGCTGGAAGTTATGATCGATCACTGCGATACTGTGATTACGATGCTTTGACACCCCACCCCACATAGTTGCCAAAACACTTTGGCATTCCAAGCATCACGTATATTCTAACACATCCCTCTTTCTCGACTGGAACTGGGCTTCGCAGCACACCCTACTGCTCGTTTGCGTGCATGCTTTCTACATTGTAGGCGCTACATAGCCCTTTCGATCACTCAACACCGATTCACCAGATACCACACTAAAGGCGATCAGACCAGCAGCTTGACACAAACGAACACATTTGCCTGCTCTGTCTCCGCTTCTACTCACTACGCATGCAACCAGCGTGCCAGTGGATCCAGCTGACGCCACCCCTCATAACCAGATGAACACATACCCGTGATAGGGCCAATCTTGACGTAATCGGATGACGCGGCCTCAGGTACCGAAAGAAAGAGAAAGAGAACAAGACACAAAGGATACGTCTCTTGCATTTATTTATTTCCGCACATGCTCTATCTACAAAATGCTTTTCTCTCAAACATTTCCCCTCCTTATTACACAAAGCGCAGAGGGAGAAGAATGCAGCCCGAAGCCTGAGCCTGGGTAGAGACTTGCCCAAAATCCACCAGATACACACAATAGAGCCAGCCGGGTTCCAACATATTCCCGGTAATCGTATATATACACAAGTAGAGGGCTTCCTTTCCCTCCAGAGATTATCCAATGCAAAATTCCTAACATGTCTCGATGTAGGGCCCAGACAGGTAGACACCCCATGATATCCGATTGTGGGATTTCAGGCCCGCGTAAAAGAAAAGGAAAAGGGTACAATTGCGCCCTGGATATACAGAATTCGCGGAAAGAGATCGGTAGAGCGGTCGAGAAAGAGTCGCCGCATCGTGCCGAAGATAAAAACGCCCGCCAACGCCATGCCGTCATGCAAGAACTCGTGATGAGAATGAATGCTATACGCGCTCGTCTCGTATCTAATTGTCGTACGTCGAGGGTAGAGATTTGCCGCCGCAATCGGGGATCTTGAGGCCAGACTTGAGGTTGCGGTTGATATCCATAAGACCCCATTTGTCTTCCCACTCTTTGCCCTTTTCGTTGTACTGAATCTTCCATGGCTCGTCAAATGCTGAGAACCTGCAGATATATGTTAGTGACGGTGCGTCAACAAACGGCGATGCAAACACTTACCAGAAATACTCTGTTCCGTTTGCCAGACTTGGGCAGACCCAGTCTTCCATGAATTGGTTCATCTCATCAATCCCAGCAACGGATCCTCCGGCGCAAGTATCGGCTGCACCACAGTCAGTGCCACCTCCTGATGGCCAACCAACTTCTGCGATGACCTGGTGTATGCCGTTTTGGCTCGCAGTGAGAGACACGTCATGGGTTTGCCAGAAGTTCCAGGTCCAGGCGGCCGCCTCGCTGACGTCAACACCAGCAAAGAAGGGATGAACGTTTGACATGACAATATCGACCTTGGAAGCCATGTCGGCAGTCCAGTTGTCACCTAGATCGGCCATGGCGACAGGCAGCTGGCAGCTGTGGTCCGAGATGTTCTTGCGGAAATCGGTAATGTGACCGAGTAGCTCGGTTTCCGTCAGGTCTTTGCGGTAAAGCACCTCGTTACCGATGATGATACCCTTGAAGTAATCGCAGCCGTAGTCGTCGAGAATGTCCCATGTTTGAGCGATCTGTCGCTCAGTAGTAGTATCGTTCTTGTCGAGCCAAACACCGAGCCAAATCTTCATGGTGTCCTTGATTTCCAAGCGATCAATGGCATGGATGAGCATCTGAGTCTGGTTACAATCGGTACCATACAAACGGACTGAGTTGGTCAGTTGCGACATGACAGCCAAATCTCGGGTGATGTTGTTTTGGGATGGTCCGACGTGGAGGCAGTCTGGGTATTGTGTGTTGAGTGGAGTGTAGTCCATGCCTGGGAAGACCTTGTGCAGATCGGCGTTGTTCATCAAGGCCTTGATCTCATCAGAATCCTTGCCAAGATCCTCCTTGTTGTCTTTGGCGACATCTTGAGAAGATTGCTCAGCTTCGGCTTTGCTAGCGTCGTGACCTCCGCCCTTGCCGATAGTAGCACCTAGGACACCACCAAGAATTGCACCCAAGAGAATGAGAGCGATGATAGAAATGGCGATCCACATTCTCTTCTTCCGCTTCTTCAAGTCGTCTTCGGCTTTCCAGCTGGCGATCTTTTCTGGCATGAGTTCTCCACTTCCGTTGACCATGGGCACAGCATCGTACTTGGTGCCGTCTCGCGACGACGCGGCAGTGAAGGCACCAGCGCCTGCGGCAGCACCAACAGCTCCGTGGTTTATTGATGATCCCGGAGAACCATTGCGACTGCTGCCGTCCCGCGAGCCACCAAATGGCACGAAAGAGCGTCGCTTGTTCTGCATAGAGTTGTGGTCTGGGCCCATTCCCCAGTCGTCATCATTGTCGACTTCGTGTGGGTTGATTATGCCCATCTGTGGAGCGAGATTCTGGGCAGACGAAGAGTAGCGGTTGTAGGGCGTGTCGTTGTAGGGGGCGCCGCTGTGAGGAGAGTGGGGCATGCTGTGCAGGGAGCTGTCACTCGAGTACATGCCAGCGACCAGCGGTGCGCCTGAGCCGTAGGAACGATTCGAGTACATTGGACGGGGCACCATGGGCTGGTCGTAGCCATTCGGGTCGTTGAAGGGTGAGGACTGCGAGTTCCTGTTGGGTACGCCCATGGGTCGTCCTGGGCCTGGCATACCTCTCGCGGCCTGCATGCCGCTCTCGCGTGGGTGGTTGCTAGCGACGCCGTTGGCGATGCCGTTAATACCGCCGCCAGCGGCTGTGTCGCCCATGTTGTCAGAGCCTGGGGTGACGCCTGGAGTCGAGTAGTCGGAGTAGTTGTTGGGGTCGGTATACTGTCGCTGCTGGTGCATACCCACGGGGGTGCGATGAACAGGCGGAGGCGGCGGATTGTCGTCGGACGGTAGGGAGTCTGGCTGCTGTCCTAATGGCCAAGCCTGGGGTTGCTGGAAAGCCATTGTGGGTGCTTGTTTGAGGTTTTCTTACACACCTCGCGTCAAAAGGCGAAAACGACAGGCGGGCGCGGGCAACGCTCGGAAGTGGTAGCGGACGGCGGCGCGCCGCTCTGATGATCGCGATGGGCGGACTATGGCTGGGCCTGGCTAGTGGTTGGGGGCGCGGGACACGCTTGGTCGAGGGTTTCTTCTTCGTAGGAGCTGCAACGCAAGGGCCCGACAAAAACGAGAGAAAAGGATGATGCAGCGTTTCGCAGAGGCGCAATTGTGGAGAGAGAGCAGTCGTGTGGCCGAGTTGATGCAGGTGTGTTAGTCGGGTACACGGCTCTGGCACGACAGAGGCTGACGGATTGGCTGCGCTAGCCCGCAAGATTCACCCAGGAAACCACCAGCGAACCCACCTGTGACGTCTCCGCCAATGCACCAGCCTCCAAACAGCCTCAACAGGTTTTCGCCGTGATAAGCTGCTGCCGTTGCACATACCGACCGAGCGCACCTTTTCGCAGACCCGACCATGGCCCTTTTTGCTTTCTCGGTCGTATTCTGCTTCTCTCTCAACTCTCTCATCTCTCATCAATTCACTCCCGTATCAGGATCAACACGGTGCCTGCCTGTTGCTGCGCTGTGATCCATCGCGCCTGCCTGTGCGCCCAAAGTAGGCAGGCGCGATATAGCCTCACCAGAAACAAGCAGTCGCAGCGAGGCCTTGGCGCTACCCACGGGAAGCCGCATCGACAACGGCGCGAACAAGGGTTGGGCCATAGACAATCTCCCATATCAGTTGCATCTTTATTGCCGCGCATCCTCTTTGGTGTCTATCCCTTTCATCCCCTGCTCGACTGCACGCCTTGCCGTCTATCCTGCATAGTCTCTGCTGCTTCGAGCTTCTGTCAACAACGTCTTTGACTTCACCACGTTCCACCATTAGCTCCTCGTGTCAGCCGCTACCGCAAACGGCTCCACTCGGAAATCTGGAGCGACCTACTTTAAGCCTGTCTAGTCTGCATAGCATAGCCTCAACTTTGCCATCTGTTTGCCATCGCCCATCGTGTTTCCTCTTTTTATTCCCGCACTCGCATCTTTTGCTACGAGGTCCGAGTCCGTTGTCTCAGCCACGGTCGTCATGCGCGACATCCATTGCCCTTGTAGCCATCTGATCGCTGTGGTGAAACACAAACACCAGATCGCCATCCGGCCCGGCTGATAAGACATGTTGTGCTCACCACTCGATCCTACCCCGCGCCCTTGGGCGAATCTCGTTCCGCCGTGCATACGAGCGCCGCGTCAGCGTCAAGTCATCCTACCGGACTTCAGCAGAAGCAGATACTTGTTTGGCTCAACTGTCAAAAATGCGCGCCAGCCTTCCAGCCTCTTGCATGCTGCATATGGTACACGTACCACGGTCACGTTTCTGCAGCCAAAATATTGGTTTGCATGCACCATGCCTCGCAACATACATTAGTACCTTTGCACGTACACTTTGACATCTACTACAGTTGCAGCGAGCTAGGCTTCAAATGCGAGCCGGAAATTAATTGAACATGGTCCATCTGGGCAACTGTGGCGATTTTGCGCCCAAATAAATTCAACGACTGTCACGTACCCCAGCAAGTATTATCTCTTAAACTTGGAATTCATTACACCGTGTACATACATGGTACAGTGTATGCTAGATCACCAATTGCAGCTAGATGCCGGTTGAGCGCCTCTATGCCGAAGATGCACACATCGCGCGAACTCTTCCTCATACGTAGGTAGAGGCTCAAAGGAGCTCCATCTGCTCAACATCAAGATACATCAAATACCATATCTCGGCGCAATAAGCTTCCGGTCGCATCCACATCTGACGATACCATTGGACTCAAGTTGTTGGACGCCTCATCTGGTCTAAACTCATCAGGTCCGCTGGCGCATGATTTTCCTAATCCGGACAACCACAATGGTAGAATCAAGCATTCAACCATCACGAAGAATGGGGAGTAGTAGCATCTGTATACATATAAATATCATTCCCTTGGCAACTTAACTATGCTCTCCCTACAAAAGTCAAACTGTCCAAGCAATGCCATCCCGCGCCCAGATTCACGCTACCCTTACCACACTACCCACCGGTCCCCCTCTTGTCATCGCCATCATAGGCGGCACATCAGGCATTGGATCATACACAGCAAAAGCATTCGCCTCCGTTTACCGCAACGCCGGATCCAAACTTCGCGTCTACCTTGTTGGTCGCGACGCCTCACGCGCAGAGGCCTTACTCACAGATGTGCGCTCGACGAGTCCAGGTTCAGAATGGCGGTTCTTGAAAGCGAATGATCTGGCGATGATGAGCGATGTCGATACCGTGTGCGCGCAGATCAAGCGGTACGAGGAGGAAGAGCCGTTTAAGGGGGGAGGACCGAGGATAGATATGTTGTACATGAGTCAAGCGTTCTCACCTTTAGCACCATCCGGTCGTGAGTTTTCTTCTACTTTTTACTACCAGATGAGAAACTGGAGCATAGTCGCATAGTAGCAACAAAAAATTCCATATGCTAACATCAACAATCAACCCTCCAGCAACAAAAGAAGGACTAGACACTCAAATGTCTCTCCTATACTACTCCCGCATCCGCTTCATCCTCAACCTAAGCCCACTCCTCTATCGCTCTCAAAGTCCCTCAGGTGCCCACGTAATATCTATTTTCGCAGGCACAATGGAAGACCGCATCGATGCGAAAAACCTCCCTATCGGCCCACCGCCGCCCAAGAAATACGGCGTCACATCGGTCCGCACGCACGTCTCTTTTATGAAGACGTATCTTTTCGAGGCCCTGGCCGAGAAACACGCTGGCAAGATATCTTTTATTCATATTTACCCTGGGCTAGTTGATGGGCCGACATTCTTGAGTCATGTGAATCCTTTGTGGTTCCGTATTTTATGGCGTGTAGCCAAGGTATTGATGGCTTGGTACATGACGAGTCCCGAGGTTTGCGGGCATGTCATGGTGTTTTTGGGGACTGGGAGATATCCTGCACAGGGCTTAGGTGTTGGGGCGGATGACGACAAGGGTAATACGAAGAGCGATAAAGAGGGAAATGATGTGGCATTCAGTAGTATGAGAGAAAGAGGCGGTGGTGCATATGCTGTCGGTCAGAGGGGTGATGAGAAAAAGGAAGTTAGTTATGCGAAGCTGAGGCAGAGTGACACTAGGGACAGAGTGTGGAAACATACCATGGGTGTGTTGGAAGGTGTTCAAGGATTGACAAGATAGTTGGATGATGGGGCTGTGTTCGTAATGAAACGTCTTTTGTAAATGAACCATGAAAAAGAAACCGTGAACACATGAAACGTCGGAACATGGAAGGGGTATCTCTCTGCATTGCAGCACTTCTTATCTCAGGTTTTTCTTCTTCTGCTACCTGTCGTGAGCCTATCCCATACCGCAATCATCACTGCCAAAAATATTCCCAATCTTGCGCCACACCACTATTGAAAGCATCGTTGCCATTGTACAATTCAGCTTGAAAGTTCGTAAACTCGGCAGCTAACCCAGGAAAGTCACTGAGCCATTGTTCAGCTTCCTCAGAAATGTTTGGTGTAGCGCGACGCTCAGGTAGCGATGGATTAAGTGCCAGTCCCGGTGTGATGGGGTTGCTGTTGATGGTAATATGCGACATGGGTGTTGCGGAAGTTCGTATGCGCGGTAACGGTTCAGTGTACTCGTCTTGTCGATGTCGATAATGGTTACTTCGGAGCTCATACTGCAGTAATTGATCGACACAAGCCGCCATTGTTCTCGTGGCGGTTAGGTGGAGCTCATAAGTTCTTTCTGGACATGGATCCGGTAACTGCACCCACTTCAGCACCAGAGAGAGGAAGATGATGTCTTTCAAATCACTTCCTTTGCGGCCCATTCTCGCGATGAGAGATCTGATGGTATTTTGCACAGTTGCAACAAGTGCTTGTTCATGATGTGCGTGCATTTGCTGCTCCGGGTGCTGGCAAATTTGTTTGATGCGCTGGCATATCATAAGAGCTGCCCACAAAGTGTCTGTTTTGCACGTATAATAGTAAAAGTCTTGCTCCGATGATGGTCCATCAGCTGCTTCTTTCAAGATTGGAGGATTATAGAAATCCTGATAGGCGAGTATGGCTAGCGATGAATCGATGCAATGTAGCCAGACTTCTTTGGTCGCTTCGGGGTTTCCCTGGTCGTTATAAAGGAGTGGTTTGTACAAGCAGAATAGCGGTCGCCGAAGGTACAAATCGAGAAGAACGCGATGCAATAGATCACCTCGATCACCAGGCATTAGTTGACTGCGGTGCAAGCTGAGGATCGAGGGTTTGGAAACTAAGCACTTTTCGACTTTTCTCCCTATTTCGATTGCCTCGTTCGCATCAGGTGTCGAGCGCTGCACAAGCGAAAGAGCCTCGAACCGCTGAGGAAGAGATGTAGCAAGGTAAACCTGGTATACAGTGTCTGTGAGATCGCTGAGTGGGCGCGAAGCGGGTATCTTTGTTGAAGATTCATCGAAATCCTCATCGTTCAAATTTGTCGGTACTGGATTGTAATTGTCGAGATCAGGAGCTATCAAGGGCATTCCTCCCATCATTGACGCTTGTAGGTCGATTTCTAGAACGGTTGCCCACAGCCGCTTTCGCATCTCCTTCTGATAAAGTGAAATAGACTTTATGTTGGCCGGATCCCAATGTAAGCCAATCATCATAGCTGAGCGTACAAGAGCGCCACTAGAACGCCAAAGCGTCTCTGGCTTTCGAACGCTACTGGAAAATAGCACAAGTATCTCGACTTGAAGGGTTGATAGCTCGGTCCTCTGTTTTCGTCCAAGTTCGTCGAGCCATGCTTCGACATAGTTGATAGCTGTCTCTTTTAGATAGAGCGTATGGGCTTCGTACTCGTTGGCGTTTGTTGCGTTATCCAGCAAGTAAGCTCTGGTCATAAGGCTTGTGAGCTGTGCGATGATGCTGGATGAGGAACCGATCTCGGATTCGTTGTTATGCCATAGCCTTTCATACTGACGCATGAATGTTGGGCGATGAAGAACACGCATAGTTCGCTCGAAATACTTGAAGTATATCGAAACTAGCCTATCACAGTAAGGCTTTGGAGGTAGCGACCCCCAGAGCTTTAGCAATGTAGGCGAAGATTCATGGTCTTTCCGGCGATGTAGCAGTGATAGTGAATTCCCTCTGGATTTGTTCTCAAGAAACTTGATCTTCTTGGCAGATGCCATTAATGGTCCATCGTAAACCATCCTATTGAGAAAATCTTTGACATCGAGGAACTGGATTCAGTTAATTCAGTGCCCGGAATCATAGTGCTGTTATTTTCTTGCCTGATTGAGGAGCGTAACCCTGTCGTTCTGCCCATGATACTGTGACCGATCTCCTTCAGCAACGACCATGCCAAGCAGAGGAAGATCTGTCGACGTCGGCCGGTCGATGCGTGTTATTGCTGAGCTTTGATGTGCACGAGCAACGCCCAAAAGCTCTTCCACTTTTGCCATTCGGTGCTGAAGATCGTCGAGCAAGCTTAAAGGCGCACTGTCAGAAGTGCTCGATAGTCGGGGTCGTTTTACTTTGGATGCAGCTGGAATGATGATGCCGCTTCGATTGTAAGTGCAGGTCTCAGCAATGGATGCTTTGGTGCAATTTTCGCATGGCGTTGTGCGGTCGCATTTCAGCTTTTTCTCGCGACATCTAAGGCATGAAACAACTGGTCGAGGACGTCTTGGGGGCGACGCGTCGTCCATCTTCACCGTATGTCAGGGTTGCGAGGTGTGGACGGGTCTCCTGCCAAGTTGGGCGGGGAGTTAATGCTCGTCTGCGGCACAGTTCAAGCGTCCCACGTGTACCCCTGGCAAAGTCCGCTTACCAGCATTGTCGGGTCGTAACGCGGAATTGTCTTTGGACCAGGTAGTTTTTCAACAACGAGAGAAGCAGGGCAGCAAGGAAGAGGGCGTCTCGGGAAGGAAATAGTCTCCTGAGTAGATATACTGCAAAGGTATTTGATAGTATTCCCAGGCGGAGCGCACTCCAGACACGGAAGCCTAAGAGAGTGTCTGTCGCGGCGTGTTTGCTGTGATGTGAAGCATAATTTGCGGGCTTACGGCACGTGGCTCTCTATCAGCGGTGGCACGTGAGAATCGACATTTGTATCCAGGTACCCAGATAGATTTTGGCGTGGTGTTCAAGTTGGGGGTAGTACAGTTTGGAGTAATAGAAGTCTGGAAGGCGGCGGCGGTGACGTCTAGCTTCGCCTAGGCCTCTGACCCCACAGCGAGCGGTCCCTGAGTAGCAACGGCGGTTTTTGCCCGCCATAACAACACGTAGCTTCACTATCCCCGAATTGCAATTGACATACATTCCACACATCAATTGCACCTCCCAAAAACTCCCCTTGGTACATTGACCCCATTTTGGTATCTCCTTCAGGTAAGTGCAGGGGAATTGTTGCGTGGCCCCACCTGGCATCTGAAGCTCTCTGGACACGGTAGCTAACAGCTCCCCTCCCGTTCTGCAGCTATCCGACGTCCATCATGAGCAACCTCTTCGAAGCAAAAGTTAAGAGCGTCCTTTCCGGCGATACTGTCGTCCTACACAACATCAACAACCCCAAAGCAGAGCGTACACTGAGCTTAGCCTTTGTAACCGCGCCGAGACTGCGACGAGAGGGAGACGAGCCTTTTGCCTTCGAGTCACGCGACTACCTCCGACGTCTGCTTGTAGGCAAGGTCGTGCGTTTCCAAGTTCTGTATAAGATACCGACTGGCGCAAACCGCGAATATGGCCTCATCGTCACACCGAACAAGGAGATTCTTCCGCAACAAGCCGTCGCTGCGGGCTGGGTGAAGCTGCGAGACGACGCCGGTCGCAAGGAAGACTCGGATGAAGCTGCCAACCTGCTCGAACGACTTGCAGTAGATGAAGCCCGCGCTAGGGCAGACTCCAAGGGCCTCTGGGCTGAGACTGGCGGCAGGATCAACTCGTCTTCAGAGCTGAGCGATCCGCAACAGTTTGTTGAACAGAACAAGGGCAAAGACATTGACTCGATTGTTGAGAAGGTCCTCTCTGGCGACCGCCTCATCGTGCGATTCCTCCTCTCGCCCACCGAGCACGTGCAAACGATGGTCCTCCTCGCCGGTGTCCGCGCACCAGCAACACAGCGAACAAACCCCTCCGACGGCAAAGTCCAGCCAGCCGAGCCATTTGGTGACGACGCGCAACAATTCGTCGAGGCTAGGCTATTACAGCGAGGAGTCCTTGTCGAGGTTCTGGGCACAACACCCAACGGCCAAATTGTCGCAGACGTAAAGCATCCTACCCAAGGCAGCATCACACCTTTCCTGCTTAAGAACGGATTGGCCAAATGTACCGACCACCACACCACCCTCCTCGGGCAGAGGATGGGCATATTGAGGGGGGCCGAGAAGCAGGCAAAGGATGGTCGCCTGGGTGTCTACAAGGAGCATGTTGCGCCCAAGGTCAGCAAGGCAGGCGAGCAAGAAGCCACCGTCAGCCGTGTTCAGAGCGCCGACACCATCTTCATTCGGAACAAGGCGGGTGCAGAGAAGCGCATCAACCTCAGCAGCGTCCGTCAACCGAAGCCGACCGATCCCAAGCAATCACCATGGGTGGCTGAGGCAAAGGAGTTCTTGCGCAAGAAGCTCATCGGCAAGCACGTCAAGTTCCACGTCGACGGAAAGCGACCGGCGACCGAGGGCTATGACGAGCGTGAGATGTGCACCGTCACTTTCCAGGGCAAGAACGTTGGTTTGATGCTTGTTGAGAGCGGTATGGCTTCAGTAATCCGCCACCGACAGGACGATGCCGACAGGAGCCCGATCTACGACGACCTCCTCCTCGCCGAGTCCACTGCACAAGCTGAAAAGAAGGGCCTCTGGTCGGATAAGTCTCCCTCGGTGAAGCAGTACGTCGACTACTCGGAGTCGCTCGAGAAGGCCAAGCGTCAACTCACTCTGCTTTCGCGGCAACGCAAGGTACCGGCCATTGTCGACTTCGTCAAGTCAGGATCACGCTTTACTGTTTTAGTACCTCGCGAGAACGCGAAGCTCACCTTTGTCCTCTCCGGTATTCGCGCACCTCGATCAGCGAGAAATGAAAGCGAAAAGGGCGAACCGTTTGGCAAAGAGGCACATGAGTTTGCCAACCGCCGCTGTCAGCAGCGCGACGTCGAAATTGACGTCGAAGACTGCGACAAGGTCGGTGGCTTCATTGGTACTCTGTACATTAACCGTGAGAACTTTGCAAAGACTCTGGTTGAGGAAGGTCTGGCTACGGTTCATGCCTACTCAGCAGAGAAGTCTGGCAACGCAAACGAACTGTTTGCGGCTGAGCAAAAGGCCAAGGATGCACGAAAGAACTTGTGGCAAGATTACGATCCGTCTCAAGAAGGAGATGACGAAACAGCAGCAGTTGCTGAGCCCACCAACGGCGACGCTGAACCATCAAGGAAGGCAGACTACCGCGATGTTATGATCACCCACGTTGAAGACGACGGAAGACTTCGTCTGCAGCAGATCGGCAGCGGCACATCAGCCTTGACATCCTTAATGAGCGCCTTCAGCAAGTTCCATCTCAACCCAGCAAACAGCGCTAGTCTGCCAGATGCACCCAAGGCCGGCGAGTTCGTAGCAGCCAAGTTCACTGCTGACGACCAATGGTACCGTGCGCGCATCCGACGCAATGACCGAGAGAACAAGAAGGCTGAGGTCGTTTACATTGACTACGGTAACTCGGAGACGATCCCATGGGCCCGCCTTCGTCCTCTCTCACAAGCCGAGTTCCTCCCATCGAAACTGAAGCCGCAGGCTGTAGAGGCCCAGTTGGCGTTTGTTCAGCTTCCTGGCAACTCTGAGTACCTTGCCGACGCCGTCAGCTTCATCTCGCAAGAGACAGCTGACCGCGAGCTCGTCGCCAGAGTTGAGGCTACTGAGAAGGATGGCATGCTCTGGGTAACATTGTACAACCCCGACCAGAGCAAAGACGGCACAGAAAGCATCAACGCCGATATCCTTAGCGAAGGTCTTGCCATGGTGCCAAAGAAGCTGCGGCCATGGGAGCGCAACGCCAGCGTGCTTGCTGCCATGAAGAAGAAGCAAGACGTAGCCAAGGAGGAGCGCCGCGGCCAGTGGGAGTATGGTGATCTCACTGAGGACTAGATGTTTACATAGTTTGTCGTCGCAGAGCTAGCAAATGGGCAGCACGAGTGAGAACAATGTAGCAATAGAAACAAAAGCATGTGTCACAGCCTCCAAGTGAGCAAGATTGTCGAGTATGTGTGTGTGCTAGCGATAATGCCTTGTGATGAAGACCAGCTGCTGTAGCTGCCGAGGTGGAGGCGCAGGCGCGGGCGGAGTTGGACGGCATATTATTGGCGGGCTTCGGCGGCGTTATGTTCTCTCCCCCCACTCGTCTACGGCAGCGAGGCGGTGCTAGGGCTGGCTGTAGGCAACCACCAAATGCACCCCAGTCAGCCCAGTTGACTGAACACGGGTCTTGTGCCATGACGACCACCTTCCAGGCAAACGCGCTGCAGGCTTCCTTCATGTCTTTATCTCGTCACACTTAATATCCCTCCGCCCTCGCCCGTCGCGCGTCAGAATACCCGTTGCGACAAGCCTCAAGCCAGTCGTGACCATGGAGACCATCAGTAGACTACCCCGGCGCCTGACACAGCTCTATTCCGATACCAAAACCACATGCGATGCCGTTGTGGAACAGGACGCCAAAGATACGCCTGAGTCGCATGCGCTGCATCGCAAGTTTAGGATACAGAAAGACCGGCTCATAACATGGGGCGTCGACTGGAGCGACAACTCCAAGGGGAAGCAGGGCGACATCGACGACAGCGTGGAAGAGGCAGGCATGACAGAGACAGTCACAAGCGTGCTCGGTACGATCAAGGAAATCCTCGATGAGGCGGAAAAGATGCACCCGGGCACATCTGCTGCGGGCGGGGGAAAGACACTGTCTGGAGAGAAGAGCCGGCCTGACCTCCCCTCGTGGGCGGCCGCCGACAGGTCACGTTACGAGGACCTCATCAAGGACCTTACCACCTCCATCGACATACTCTACGATCTTTCACGAAATCGAAGAGCCCAGAGAAGCAATGAACGTGCTATCAGTCCAGGAAAAGCTGCGCCGCGTCCCACCATATCTACTCCCGTTTTCTTGTCGCCCGACTACAACGCCTCTGACTTGACACTTGTTAACCCAGCCACCTTTCCTCTGAATGCACACACACCCAAGTCTCATCTTCCACCAAAACTAGATCCTGCAGACCTGATCCTCCCTGACGAGGAACCCCCACCATACGAGAGCGTCGGGACTACCTCTGTTCGTGTCATCGGTCGTCTCCGATCTCGCCACAGCTCCACGAACCCCTGGAAGACGGATGGAAGTAGGAACATAGAGACTTGCGTTCTGGTTGACTACGCATGTTACGACCCTACCTATCGACTCACTGAAGTATCTCCACCCACGGACCGCCTCGAGAATCTCCTGTCCATCTTGACGAAGCTGACCCACAACCAATCTTTCCACGGTACTCTCAAGTGTCTTGGTTACTTTGAAGACCCAAAGCAGCCACGTTTTGGTCTCGTCTTTGAACTACCCACCTCGGTCTACTCAGGACCAGCCGACTCTCACAAGCCAGTTGAGGAACTCAAGCCAGTCACACTGCTCAGTGTATTGCAGACTGGCTCCAAGTCTCAACACAACTCCAACAGTGCCACTCCGCCGCTTGAAGACCGCTTTCGTCTGGCCTTTACGCTCGCCTTGACCTTCAGCAAGGTTCATGGCGACAATTTCCTTCACAAGGACGTCAACAGCACCAACATCATGGTCTTCAAGAAGAGCAAGAGACAATCTGCCAACAGCAGAGCATTGCAATACTCGCTGCGAGCACCTGTCATATGTTCCTTCGACCTGTTCTCCGACTTTGACATTGAGACTTCCAGAACGACACCAGCATTGAACATCTATCGTCACCCGGAAGATCCTAAATTTACCGGAAACAAGGACCAAGAGTACAACGCCAATTTCGATCTCTATGGCCTAGGACTGGTACTGCTCGAAATAGGATTATGGGTGCCTCTGCTTGACCTCTGGAAGCAAAAGTACACCCTCAGTGACTTCAAACAACGGATAGAAGATGTGTACATCCGTAGGCTTGCTTCCAAATGCGGAACAGCCTACATGCAGGTAGTGCGCGACTGCTTCTGGGCCGCTGATGTCAAGGGCGATAACGCGATCGATGTCCCGCAGGTCTACACACGCATCCTTACCAGATTGCAACGCTGCTGCATGCTCGACGAATCTGAACCTGGTTTCGACTTGAGTGAACTCAGACCGGGTTCCACACCTATACAGCAAGCATCTCCATTGAAGCGCAAGAGCGTAAGTCAGCCACAAATAGCAACCGATGCCCAGTCAAGCCCATCATATAGGAGCGCAAAGCGATGGGCACTGGAAAAGGGATCACAGGCGCTGGAAAGGACCAAGTCTCTCTCGAAGAAGTCGCCAGATCTCTCATTGGCTCGTAATCCATCCCGGAGCTCGCAACATTCTATTCGAAAGAGCATCTCAGAAAGTTTGCGTATGATGAGTCCAAAGGAAGAAACTACAGAGATGGAGTGGGAGCAGAAAGATCCTTTGGAAGAATCAGGTACTCTTGTCGAGACTCCACCAAACTCGCAAGACCTCAGCGACAATTCTTCTTTGTACAGAGAACGTGTGATAACCGCTGCTTCAATAATCCAGCGCGCATGGCGACAATCACGCAACCCTTCCGATCGAGGCGCAACGCTTCAAGACTACAAAGACAAAATCACTATCATCCAGAAGGCTTGGCGCCAGACAAAACAAAAACGGAGCAGTAACACTGTCTCAGCCCTGGTCAGTGATGGGCTGAGGCACTGGCCACAAGCTACTCTCGGCTATCCTACACCTGAACCCGAGGTTCAAAGCAGGACAGTCGACTCGAGTGAGAGCTACGTCACGTCCTCAATACAAATCGAGACCGATATGGAACACGCTCCTCGGCCAAAACTTCGCCTCTTCCCCGTCAAATTTACTCCCGAGATTGTGGATGAGTGGCATTCATCTATGTTGCCCCGCCTTGAGCGTCTGATTGAACGCGCACTCAGAGACTCTGAAGAGACTGTCAGCATTGATCTTGTCGCTATTGGAGAAGTACTCGAGAAAGCCAAGCCTACTGTGTTTGTCACCTGTACCAGTGTGGCCAAGGTCAAAGCTATCCTTAGTCGTCGCTTCCGCTACGATGAGAACGTGTATGATCTCAAAGTCCGGAGGGGAAAGATCAGGCGGTCCAAAATGAGCCGTTCGTCGCGCCGAACTAGGCCACCCCATCGATCGATGATGAACACCAATGCCTACGATGCTGACATGCAAGTGATGAATCCTTATCATCAGGAGCGTCCACTATGTGGCGCTTCTATTGGAGCTTTCAGGGGTGAACACCTGCCTCCAGTGTCCTATGGTGGAGTTATTTTGGTCGACGATGGGCCACTGGGCATGAGCGTCCATCACCTACTCGACGCACCGTCTGATGATGAAGATGACATTGGTGAAGAACCCGATAGCCCTCTTCCCAGTGACGTGATGTTATCAAGTGCAGCGAACAATCCCTGGTTGATGGGTATGGGTGAGCAGCCAGATCTTTATCTGGAGTCGGATGAGCCTGCCGCGATGTGGGATCTTGAACTCTCAGACGACGATGACCTGAAGAGTGAGGATGAGGATGCTGATATCGATTCGTTCGACTTTTCCGACAGCGAGCTCGAATCTGACGATGACTCTGCAGAAGGTACGTCAACTAGGTATTCCATGAAAGGCGCCAATGCTAATCTCGTTTCAGACATGGCCGATTCCATCGTCTCGCGCGCAACTATGGGTGATATTGACGGCATTGTTCCAGGCGAAGGCGAGGAGATTAAGATCACACAACCAGCCATCGATGACGTCGACGCAGACTTCTTCCCTAACGAAGAAGATCGCGACGACGACCATCTTTCCTCGCACGAGCTAGGTCACGTTCATGCTTCTTCCGGAATTCGCCGCTGGAAACGCGATGGTATCCTCCATGAAATTGACTGGGCGCTCCTCAAACTCAAAGAAGATCGCCTTCAACCATATAATATATGCCAAGGAGGTCGTCGCTTCTGCATGGGCAACATGACACCCGAACAACGTGCGATAGCCTCCAAGCTCGAAAAGCCAGTCAACCGCCGTAACTTCACTCCAGAAGAAGACGAGTATCCTAACGGCGTTGCCCCCACTTCGTCTCTCGGTGGTATGTCTGTGCATTGTTTCGGCCGGACAACCGGCCTCCAAGGCGGCATGATCAGCAGCGTCATGTCCGCCGTTCGCATCTATCACCGCAAGTCCTTCTCACGCTCCTGGCACGTCGCCGGTGGATTCGGCAAAGGCGGCGACAGCGGAGCCTGGGTCGTGCAAAACGGCCACCACAAAGTCGTCGGCCACGTCCTCGCATTCTGTCACAAGAACCAAATCGCCTACATCTGCCCGATGGAAGTCCTCCTTGAAGATATCAAGCGCACACTAGGCGCCAAACGCATCTATCTTCCGGGCTCTGTAGAGCAGACGTTGTACAAGGCCAAGAAGGCTAGACAGCACGAGGTTATCGAGGACCTGGGTGCGAGAGTTCAAGGTCTAGGTATTGTGGATTCTGCGGTGGATGTCAGGGAGAGTTTGGGATCTGGGCCACCGGCTAATGGCGGTCTGTGGGAGAGGCTAGAGCGGGGAGTGGATAGCGACAATCAGAATACGAGATCTGCCATGAGGAGCAGTATCATGCATGTCAACAACGGAAGGGATGGGGGATTGGAAATGAGTGTCAAGTAAGAGTGAGGCGGTAGGCGTTGATCAGGCGTTCGGTAAGGACGGCATGGCTGGAGGAGGGTATACCCCATTGTTGAATTAAATCTCTGTTCAAAACCCACAAACTTCTGATCCCGTTCAGCCTGAAGTGCATGAAACCTCGAATGGATCTATCCAAGGCGAGTTATTCGTCCAAGTCTTATAGCAATGGTACAAGAGCGCTAAGTCCAAACCCGTGCCCCAATCTCCTTACACAGGTTCTCAACATCCTCTCCTTTCCCTATTCTCGCCCAGTACTCCTCAAGTTCAGCTGGGTACCCTGTTTCGTTGAGCGGTTTGATCCATTCATCACCCTTGCTCCGCGCTACTCCGGCCCAGTACGCCATCCTCTCTGGACGTTTACCGTCTCTGTTCGAAGCGAAGTGGATAAGCAAAGACGCAGGACGTGCCAATGATGGTTTGTCAGGGTGTGCTGGATTTGGTGGGAACCCGTTGAACCATCGTTGAGGCACATGGGCAACGGCAGAGGAGAAGTACTGCCGCATGCTAACCTCTTCCATAGCACTTTGCTCGCTGTACTTCAACTGTATGTCTGGATTATACTCTTTCAGGCTTAGTGCAGCAGCGAAGAAACGTATTGCCCATTCATTTACTCTAATAAAGAAGACGCCATTGTTGAGCCCATGTCGATCATTCGTCACCACCAAATGAACGTCCTGCACCGGCGGTAAGAAGACTTGCAACGGTACCTTAGGGTTCATCAGTATGGTATCCCGGTCATGCCAGAAGAGCCACTCCAGCCGTTCCGCCGCCGGCTTAGCGAGTTCAGCTCCAAGAATCGTGAGCAAGAAAGCGTGCTTGGACCAGAGACCAGGAAGCATGCGTTCGTGCAGTATGAATTGAGGGTATCCATGGAGGTCGTTGTGGACCTGGTGTGAAGCGATGGCGGCTTCGTAAACGGGATCCTTAGGACCGAATGACGCTGTAACTTTGCCAATGCGAGGGAAAACCTGCGATGATGGCGAGGCTGTATGTGAAGCAGGGATTGACGTAGGGGCAGGAATACGCGTCGGTAGAACCTTGCTTGAGACTGGTGTCCTGATCGAGAGGAGAAACACAAGAGCTAGGCCTAATACGAAGATTCCAGCATATTTCAACATCCGAAATGGTGTTGCTCTTCGAAGAGAATACCTAACACAGGGGGTCTGGTTGTCTTCAGACCATGTGCTGGAAATGGAGCTGCGCCTGCTTTCGCTCATGATGAGTGCTGTTGCTGAGGCGCGCAAGAGCTTGGAAGGCTACAACGGGGAGAGACGAGCGTCATATGGGATCGATCGATTGCATCGACGGCCAGGCGTCTTTTTTTGAGGTTTCTCCAATAGAAGGGTTCAGTGTGTGTTCAGTAGTATGGTAGTGATCACGTGCTGAGTAATAGACGCGAACGAAAAAAGCAAAAAGAATAAATCAGAGGTTATTTGATCTCGTTGAGGTTATTTGGCGATACCGAGAGGTGCCATGGTCTCGGGTTCTTGGTTACTGCCAGGGCAGCCGCCTAACATGCCAATAAAGCCCAGCGGAGGATAAGCCACCCCGCGTTCAACTAGTGCCGCTAATTGCTTATGTGGTGGCGCGTGAAACGCGTACGTGTCTCGAGACGTCCGGCAATGGATAGTATGCGTCTTTTTTAAGCTTGTAGGAGTAGTCAGTACGATGACGATGCAAGCTCCAGATCCAGGCATCATTGTCGAGATCGTTTTCAAGCTACTTAGGCATCTCGGTGAAAGCGCCCAATACGAAAGCCGAGTTGTCGGAACCCGAGATCCAGGTATGACATGGTCAGAGGTCATCGTGAGCTGATTGCTGTCAGAAACGTCGTTAGCGGATTCATATACATAGATGCCGGTTGTGCTGCAAGGCCCGAGACTTGGGAGAGAAACCTTGTCACTTCGTAATATCATGGCCGTCATGCAGCTCTGCCGAGCCGCTAAAAGTTGCCATGAACACCAGCCACCATCAAGAACTGCAACCTCAGACCAGACCCATCACCTCCGAGCCTGTCTAAACTGACAACAATATAGCGAAATGTGACCAATCCCGGTTTGCCATGTGTGGTTGGCAAGTCGAGGATGAAGAGGTATAACCAGGCGAGCTCACGACGGCCTAACATCGGTGCATTCGCCTTATCGTGTTTCTCGGCAGCTCGAGGCTCGTCTCAGGAACGTACATATCGTGCAGACACGGTGAAAGATTTCATGATATTTCATTGCTTCATATGGTCATTATAGGAAAGGAAACTCGTCGCCACGTCCATAATCCACGTACAGCAAGATGAGTCGAGAAGAAAAAACCAACCTTACCACTCACTTGGCCAAGACCGCGTTGATACCGTTCGGAGCACCAACCTTACTGAAGCCCTTTGGAGTCTCAATCTTACTGACACCATCTGATGCGTCATCCGAATACCCACTGTCCGACGCCGCCTTGCCACTCAGCGCGCAACCGCACTCTGATGCTTTCACCTGAACTGATACGCTCATGTCCTTCGGTATCCTCGACTTCTCCCCACCGTATCGCACAGTCGTCATACTGAAGAAGGTGTTCCCCGACAGATTCGCCCACATACCTTTCAAGAAGTCCCACATCTCTTCACTCAGGTTCTCTGACTCGAGCCTTTTCAACTCCTCCAAGATCCACTGTTCACGCTGCAGCAAAAGGGCGTACGACATTTCCAGTGCGGTAGCTTCGTCAGGGCAGCTGAGTAGTTGTTGCACGACAGTGACGAAGTTGATTAGATCAGGACATTGACCTGTGTGGTAGGCTCGAGCTTCCTTCTCATAGCTGTATATGTCATTGGCGATCGAAAGGTGCTCTGTCGCAAGCTTCATGAAGTGCGCAATGGCGGGGTCTTTGATGTTGATACTGGATGCTAGGGAGAACTTTACGGCAGCGAAGGTCCAGCCTGCGCAGATGTTTCCGTCGCGGAACCTGAGGTATTCGTCCAATGAAGTGAATTTCTCTGGGTGTTTGATAGATTGGAGTGAGTGGTTGAGGAGCTCTCTGTACATGTCTTCGCCTCCGTTCCCCTTTTGTGCATCGGCGGCACGCACGTCAAGTGTGACTTGGTCGAGGAATGCTTGTAGAGGTGTCTTTGCGAGTTTGGATGTGTACTTGGGATCCTCTAGTCGCTTGCAGAAATCGTCGATCAACATGGGGACTTCCTTGTCGCCTACTACTTCGCTCCGGTCTAGCGTTGAGGTTAGTTACTTGGTCTGAGCGGAGCCACGAGACTGGGACGAGTGAATATACCATCGAAAAGGAAAAGCAGGCAAGCGAATATAGCTATGAGCTCGAATCGGCGTGCGTCCGTGGTGAAAGGGTACATGTAACCTGGGCAGCGCAAGACACGGTGCTTAAAACCAGGACGAAGTTCCCGACGTGCAATGTCTTGAATAGAATGTCCATCCTTTACAGGAAGATGTTCCGCATCTTTCTCACTTGCGAGAAGATAGATCGTTGTTCTCCCCGCCTCCAGGCCCTCCTTCCAGAACCGTGTTTCGTATACGTCTGCGATGGAGCTGCAGTAAGGAACGTCACAGATGCCATTGAGCGGACTGAGAGTATTGAACACGCGTTCCTTAGTATTGTGAACCTCGCCTCCGCCTCTAGGAAACGAAATAGGGCAACGACGTATCCATGACGGATTGGACTGTAAAGGGTTGTGCAGATACCGTATAGGGCAGATTCGGTCCTGCTCGGCCTCACTAACAAGGCCGGTGAGAGAGTGATGAGGGATAACCATGTTGAAACAATCGAACCCTTGGAGTCGGAAGCTTTGAGACTTCCCATTCAGTTGGACTTGCAAGATACTTATGGGCCGGAGACACGTATTGCATGTATTACGAGTCAGCGCCCTGGCTTGGATATTCTGATGGAGAGTGGACCAGGGTGGGATCCCGGAGAAATTTCCTCATGCCGGTAAATACCCCTGCGAGATCAACCGTTTAAGCTTCCCGTTCTTATCACGTATGATCAACGGGTATCGTGGCTCGACTCAAATATGTCCGAAACGGTCTTGACAGCTTGCGAGCACCCCACATCTCGCGACAAAGAGTTCACTACTTGCCCTGCATGCCATCATCCTAGTCGCCCTACCATGCGCGCGTGTGGCATAGTCCGGGCACCGCTGCCTTTTCGCGTAGTCTGAGAGACATCTCTGCCGTGAAAGTCTTTTGTCACGAGGTCCGGCCCGTCTCGCGCATGACGGAGCGGCCCATGGCTGTTGCCATTTGTCAACGTTTTTCACCCCAATGCTATCTCATTGGAACGGAAGAGCTTCCGTACCGTCTGCTAAGGATTACACCGTGCCTTGTTTCGAGGAGTGTACTTCGTTTGCGGTTCCCGCGCTGTTATTCTCACCCCTGTTTATTGGGCGAAGGGTTCAGAGAACACTAATGTCCTTCGTGCATACGCGACAATGGCTATACGCGCTTGTTAGCTCCACGGAAATGTAGAATGTGCCTTTGGGTCTGCTGAGGGCCTGATTTATACGGCAATAGCCATTGGTTTGTGCTTTGGTGTCGCTTGCTAGTTCTTGTCGAGCGTTGTCAAACCGTCTGTGTCATGGCGTGGACTGAGTCGTACGCGAGTAAGATGGCGTGTACCTTTGCGGCGATCTACGATCTTTTTACCCAACCCTTCTGCCCGTTATCTTTGTGTCTACTGGTGATTCCTAGAACCCGTCATTGGTCGAAAACGGCGCTTATCCTCGAACCACTTTGGCATGCACAGCGTCTCATAGGGCGATACTCGACAGACCTCTTTCCATCGGTCCTTCACCGCTTCTTTTTGAACGAGGTTGTTCCGACAGTGCAGAAGGATGTGTACTACAGCCGGAATCGGAACGACTTCTTCGAGTATAGGTTCATGGCGTGGATTACGACGATGCGTGGTCAATGACTTCGAGACGAGGGGTGGCGTACGACGATAGCTGGTCATCCACGATAATTTTGGTGACATGTGACTACCAGCGATTTTATCTAGCTGTTTTTACAGTAGAAGATGCTCATTTCCAGTTACACATAGGTCGTATGCGGTATTGTGGGCCCGAGATGTCCGGATGAAAAGTTGGGTTTCATCTCCAGCGACATGACTCCAGTAGCAGTTCTGCAAACCATCATAGTTTTTGTGAGTACCAAGAGGTCGCAGTACGTTGAGCCAAACTCGGCCTACACTTCACTTCGAGTCTTGTATCGTGTCCCACACGTAAACTGTCAGCTATGTGCGTACGTTCTTCGTTACGACGAAGCCGACTGCCATGTCGTGATTCGATCTGTAGCAAAACTGTGGGGTCTTGGAAATAAATGCATGTGCGTAAAGAAGTACAAAACTTGTTTTGACGTTGTTCATGGGCTTTTCGTAGAAATCATGGCGAGCCGTGGCCTTTGGCGTGAGTTTCAAATCCCGGCAACTCGGAAGCGAAAGGCATATCGATACCAGCTTATCACAACGACTTATCGTTACACGCATGTTTGTCCGCTTGAGTATATCACGAAGTGTATGGCAAGGCTTGGTGTAGGAGTCTGGTTGCCTGTTATCCTTGGGATCTCGAAGAATTCTGACGTAGCAGATACGCAATTGGCTTACCAGCTTGCATGCAACGGCATGGTGCCGTATGACCACGACGCGCACTATTTGATGGAAGGAATGAAATTTACAATGGCATGCTTTAATCTTCTCTTTGACCGACAGTGCCCTTACTCCCAGAGATTAGACGGCTGATGATCGATGTCCATGAGTGAAAATACGATGCGTTTGACGGCTCGGAAAAGTGAAGTAATCTCTTGTTCTTGTTTTGGAAAAGGTGGAAGATACGACCATGACACTAGAAGCCTGGATATAACTTTTGGTGATCGGATCTTTAGATGGAAAGAATGCGGATGTATTCGGGGTAGGTTAGTATGCCTCCCAATATGTTGTTCGTACTTTCCAAAGACTCTGCACGAGACATTGAGTTCGTCACGTTCGGCGCCGAACAACATCTACCACTTGCTTCCCCTAAAGAGTTGAGTAATGGTATCGGGAACTCTCGCGTTGTCGACCATTGCTGGCTTGCAAGTTTCGTCGTCCTGGTGATTATCATAAGAAGGTCGTCATCGATGATTGTCGGCTAGGCCCTTCGTCCGGTGAGGAAGTCGCAGCGACGAGATATCATCAAGACGCTCAAGAGATGGCAGTACAGCTCTGCAGAATGTCGACTGGCTTCCATATTGTAGCAGCGATGCGAGGTTTGGTCTTGACAGTCGCTCCGAAGACTTCGTTCGCGGAAGGGGTCGCGATCAGCACCTCGCTCTTACTAAGCTTGCATTCACGTAACTATGAAGCTTACATAGTATAATGAACCAAGCACGTACTTCAGAAACCCACTTCGCGAGGTCGCCAAAGCTTCGTATTGCTGGTCTGATATCTCCGTGTACGGATGGTTGGGCGCTAGCGAGATCTAAAGAGGAAGCGCTATCACGAAAGCAGATGTGGCGCAGCCCCTGAGGTGGTCTTTCCTCTGGCGAACACATCACGAACACCAAACGGCCTGGCAGGGAGCGAGCCCGAAGCACTGCATACAGTAGGAAGGATCCGACTCGGACCTTTGGTATTCTAACACTGCCAAAGAGAAGGCTTTGGACAAACTCCCTACAGATAAGCATAGTACTCAATCATCTGCGCTAGTGTTCACATCATACCATCTGTCACAATCACGTACTGATTGTTGCTGCTCAATGACTTACACAGGGTCAGCAATCTCGACCAATTATCAGCCGAACTGAACGTGCGTTCAACGGAGACGGGATCCTCTCAGAATCCACGCTATTGAACACGCAAGAGCCACAAGGTCTAGAATTGAGGTTCAAAAATAAACATCGAAATCTCATTGGACGGCGGAAGCACAATTACTATTCTCACGACGGGCGCTCTGCTAGCAAGATCACAATTGATAGCACATGTTGGGGTATCAAGCCTTGGGTAGTGGGGAAATATCCGCCTGTCTTCGTGCGGGACCCCTACTCCTTCTCCCGCCCCACAGCTTTGAGTTGAAGCATGCATAAAAATGCTTTTGAAACTCGATAAGCGGCAATCCAGTATCATATGAGCAGAGAAATGTCGAAAAGGCGATCGTTGCCCAAGAGACGGCTTTTGAAACCTCGACAAAGTGTTTTCTCTCAGAGTCCCTACCGTTCATGATGGGTCGGTCCGGATTGTATCTGAGTAAGCATTTTCTTCCGAAAGCTTATGCTTCGTATTCGTATGTATATTCGAGTTGAGAACCACTACCGAGCGGTATGCTGATGCATTGCGCACGTATCGCGTTCTAGAGCTGAACACCCTCGGATTCTGATAGCAAGCGAGCGGCGAACACTACCATCTCAGGGGCATGTATCGCCAGGAGCTGCTCGCTTGATGAGTATATATGGACAATCATGTCTCGCAGTTCTTCTCCTCATCCACACCTTCTACTTAATTATCACACACTCTTTTCTACACTCGTTCTTTCCTATACTATCTCACCCCAGTCATTCGTTATACACGATCATATTTATATCTAATATCTAATATCAACAACAACAACCATCACAATGAAGTACGCACTAATCTTCGCTGCCACTGCAGCTGCCTACGAGGCCTACGGCGGATACGGTGCGGATGTGGAGTCCAGCTCGGCTGTCAAGCCTAGCACTTCCGCAAAGCCTATCGGATACACCACCATCGTCCCAGGCTATGGCAAGCAGCCGGTCACTGTGACCACCCAGCACCAGCCGTACCCAACCTGCGTTTCTCCTGCCTACGGCGGTAAGGATTGCGCCAAGTGGGATGAGGACGCCTACGTGTCGACTGTGATCAAGGACTACGACAACAACTACGCTACAATCACCAAGACTGCGCAACCTGTCGTTGTCTACCATACCAAGAAGACTATCACCCACTCCGCCACTGCCACAAGCGGCTACGCTGCGCCCACCGGCGTTGCCTACAAGAACGGCACTGAGGGTTGCTGGTACGAGTTGTACGAGAAGATCGAGGAGGTGCCATACAACCAACTTGGTCCTCACGCACTTCCCGGATACCCCGGCTCCGGTCTCTACAAGGAGGGCGAGAAGAAGCAGCCCGTTAACGTCAAGGAGTACAAGGGCGGAAAGTGGTCTGAGTACGTCCACGAGTACTCCTACGGCACTCCCAAGCCTGAGGTCACCACCTACGAGAAGCCCGGTGTCTACACAATCCCTAGCAAGGATGTCACTATTGACCACCCTGTCACCTACCCAGCTGAGGCTACCAAGACTGCGAAGGCTGGTGAGACATGCACCTACGGAGGTCAGTCCATCGAAGCCAAGCAGACCGGTTACATCACTGGTGCTTATGCTGCTTATGAGACAAAGGTCAACGGTGGTAAGACCGTGACTGAGACCGTGATCAAGCACACCACAATCTATGCCTCTACCACTGGCAACTACGAGGTCGCAAAGCCCACAACCACCGTGTACGACCATGACACCGAGGTCGCATACCCAACTGCTAAGCACTACGAGGCGGGTGTTTACCACCACGAGGCTCAGACTGTCACTATCACCAAGCCCGGACAGGCCTACACTTGCGAGTACGAGCAGACCAAGAAGCACGAAGCTACCTCGACACCCAAGAAGAGCACCGACCACTCGGCCTACCCTACCTCTGTCCCCGCTCACGACAACTCTTACGGCCACAACAAGCCATCTTCAACCCCTAAGCAGCCTACTGAGGGCCAGAACAACTACCCTTCGTACCCTGCCACCCCCAACAAGCCCACTGAGGGTGAGCACAACCACCCCTCTTACCCGGCTACTCCTGAGAAGCCTACCGAGGGCGAGAGCAACTACCCTTCATACCCCTCAACCCCCAAGAAGCCTGTCGAGAGTGAGAGCAACTACCCCTCTTACCCTGCCGGTCCGGTAGAGGGTCACTCATCTTCCGTTCAGGAGTCCTACCCAACTTCCGCACCTGCGACTATCTACACCAAGCCATCCTACAACGGCGGAAACGCCTATGGCGAGACTGGAAAGTCAACCATGGCCACTGTTTCTTCCAAGGAGAATGCTTACCCTGAGTCTACTCCTGCCTACGGTGCGGGTTCTTCAGCTCCTGCTTACGGTCCTGATTCCTCTGCTCCTGCCTATGGCACCGCTTCTTCCGCAATGGCCAGTTCCACTCCTTGTGAGAGCAGCTCTGCTTCCTCCACTACTGCCAAGTCCTCTGCCTACAGTGCTTCTACCCCTGCTTTTGAGTCTTCCATCTACAGCGCATCCAAGCCCGCTGAGGCCAGCTCTACTCCTTGCGAAAGCAGCACTGCTTCCGTTACTCCAGCGAAGTCTTCCGCCTACAGCGCCTCTACTCCCGCCAATGTTTACACCAAGCCATCTTACAACGGCAACACCGGCTACGGCGAGAATGTCAAGTCGACTCTCTCTACCATCTCTACCAAGCCTTACCCTGCGTCCACTCCTGTAGAGCACTACCCTGCAAGCGCTAGCTCCACTCCTTGCGAGAGCAGCACCGCGTCCATGACACCCGCCAAGTCGTCCGACGTATACAGCCAGGCTACACCCTCCCCAGCCAAGTCTTCGGCCTACAGCACCCAGGCTTACGGCGAGGCTTCGTCGACTCCCGTCAAGCCCACCTCCGCCCCTGCCTACGACAACACTCCCTACCCCGCTGGCGCCACTTCTACCCCCTGCGAGAGCAGCGACAAGCCTTCCGCTACTCCTTACGTTCCCGCAGCTTACCAGCCTGCCCCTGCTGAGGGCTACAGCAAGCCCCAGACTGGCTACGCTAAGCGTGGTGGATTGAACGAGCGTCGCAAGATCGCTGCTGCGAACTAGAAGCGCTAATGGTTTTCTTCTGTAAATTTTCGTTGTGTTGAGAAGTAGATAGAGAGGAGATGAAGTTAGAAAACATGTGTGTAGAATCTAATGGAAAATCACCATTGCACAGTTCCACCTGGAATCGTGAGTGTTTACGCTTGATGTACATATTGGCACAGAAGGTGCAGACTCACAAAGACCTGCCGTCTAATTATCTGCCGCGATACTCAAGAACAACGAGAAAGACTTGGTAACAGAGGGTTGGTATGAAGGCTTTTCAGTCCTAACTGTCAGCGTGATCAGGACTGGCGACCTCAATTTCTACTTGCACTCAGTTGTAGGGGAAAGTCGAGCGCCCTTAGGTGGGTGCTTAGTGGGGACTGCTCGACTATTCTCTACAACGACGTGGTTGTATGAAGCGGAGCGTGGAATGTAGAAAGGAAGGGTGGGGCAAAAGGGGGGCACAAGTTCGAAAAAGTAGCATGGGCATGACACTCGATCCTAGCGACCGAAGATGTGCCCTTCAACCAGGCCAAAGCTTCTATAGAAATCAAGTATATAAAGATAAGATGTCATCTTTCTTTCATCAAGCATTCTTGGTCCAACGGTAGGATAATTGCCTTCCAAGCAATTGGCCCGGGTTCGACTCCCGGAGGATGCACAACATCCTTCTCCACAATTGCGAGATCTTCTTTTTTGTCTTTTGCTGCTTCGACTTAAAGACCGAGCATCATATTACAACACGACAAGAACAATTCTTTTTGTAGGAGAATATTTTCTGTACAATCAAAATACGGGGCTTCTAGGAAACAACACGGAGGTTTTTGTTTTGTACTACAGCTGTGTAGAAGGATTCCGCAGGCCTGCGCGTGTGTATTCATTCCCTTCCACAACCTGCTGTAGAGGCCAAGTCTGACTTTTGCGACAATGCGCTTGCACATCAAGCCCATACTTTCTTTTCTTCTTGTCTTCTCAGCCGCACTACCAAACTACCATCACCTCGGATGCATCTGATGTGCGCCCGCAGGCCTGGAACCGGCCAAAGTCTCGACGCGACACCAAGGTGAGGGGTGTTGGTTGGTTATCAAGCATCGCGTCGCTTCTGGCCGGTGGCTTATCAGCAACACGAGCCATCAAAGCAGACATGTCTGGTAGAGATTCCTTGGTACTCAAGAGCTTGATTTTGACACAAGACGCGCATGATCACTCTATCTTGCATAGTGGTCTGACAAGATGCATATTCCGTCATGGAGGACACAACGATTCCCGCAGGACTTTGTAGCTCTGTGGCAGTCCAACGCGACATTGCGTAACAGCTATCGATAATCTCGCTGTACTCCGATACTACTGACGTGATGGATGGAGAAGTAGGCATTGACTAACACGTTAATCGCACAAAGAGTTTCAGGGAGAGCGAGGTAACCACTCTGGCGGAGACAAGTATTCGCACCCCTCAAAACCGGTGACCCCAAAATCGCCGTCCAGAGGCATATCATCTGCATTGATTGGGTGACCGCTAGCCCTATATTGCAACGGGAGCCTGTCAAGGTCTGGGTTTTCGGTTAGATGCGTTGGCTTTGCAGCAGACGGTGGGGCTCTAGACGCTCGTTCGGAAGTGGGGGAGTCGGTGAGCTTGCTTGAGGAACATGGCGAACTGGAGGTCCCGCCTGATGTTCGAGGCTTCTGATTGGGTGTAATGCAGCAAGACAGTAACAAGTCACCGACATCTTGTTTAAGCTGCGATATGCGCCAAGCATGTGGTGAGGACACAGATCAAAGGGAATGACGAGAACGGTTTGAGGCGTAGGTCTTATATATTGTGCTGATGGCCTGGCTTTTGAGCCTCACATCCTTCATCTGCAGTCATCTTTCGTCAGTTCCGTCTGCAATAGGCAACTGGCCTCCTACACAGAGACAAAGAGCACCTTGCATACATCTCAATCACTTGCATATCCATTTGAGACCAACAACATGGCATCTCACAATCAGCCTATGCCGCTGCCAATCCGGACGAACACTGTCGATTCACAAAAATCCCAGTCATCGGGTCAAACATCCCCACCCTATTCCCCAGCGTCACCAACGGCCCGCACGACAGCTTCGCCAACCGAAGAGTCATTCTTCGGTGCCATTTCAGCGCGCCTTCGTGGTCGCTCGCGAAGTCGCTCTCGTGGAGCCACGTCTCGCAAACGCTCCAAGTCGCCCGTGGCCATGCCGCCCACCCAAGCACCTTACCCACAGGGGCGTGCCTCCACTACAAGTCCTACCAATTCAAAACGGCCAGCTGCAGCACCAGTACAAAACGGCAGGCCTAGCATACAAGACGCGGGTCGACGGAGTACAAGTGGAAGCGATCCATGGAAGGGACGGCACTCGAACGATTGGTTGTTCAACGGGTACTCGCTGACGGCTTCAGCCAGAGAGCTAGTTCAGCGACGGAAATAAGGCAGATGAACGATTGATGGTACTGCTGGCTGTACCACGCTTGTTGATTGGCGTCTGATCACCTTTTGATGAGCGTAGCAATGAATGATGACGAGACGACTGAATGAGATTGTGCGAAGATTATTCCGAATACTGTACAGATGAGGAGCGCATTCGAGCTGGCTTCGATGCTGTTATCAAATTTTTCTTTCGCGTTCTTCTCTGTCGTTACATGGCTGTATAGTAGCTTTGAGCATACCTAGGTACAAATTGATGTTGCGGTATCGGCAATGTCGTGGTACTTCGTTTGACCACCTTGCATGTGAAATCAGGCCGCGTTGGCGAGTACACACACAATCAGGGAGAGCAACGTCACTTGACTACTTGCGCAAAGATGTATGCTGTGTCTTGGTACATGTTCTCAGAATTGTCGGAGTTCATTAGCACTGCCTCTTTTTACATAATCCACATTACTGACTCGCGGACTCAGCTCCGGTTCCGCAACCTGCCATGTGCCAGGTACCAGTTGCCCTCACCGCTTTAGGGAGTACCTTCATGTCTTCTTGTGCTCTGTGCTTTCGTGAAGCTCTCTACAACACGCGATGACGATTTCAATACCGGATATGTCTTCCCTGAATGCCGTAGACGTCACGTCCAATCATCGGAGTTAAACGATGATAACCCAGATGGCATAAGCAGCCATGTCGAATTCCGGAGTATGACCCACCACCCCTCCATCACGCCCCCGTGAGGTTGACCATCCATCGGTACAAAACACTCATTCCGAATCTGAAGGATAACGTTCGCCACACCGCATCGGTTTATCGTCGAGGGTTTGCATAGAGCGAACATATATTTAAGACTCAATTGCGATCCGTTCCACCCCTCTCTCCTGTACTCCGTCTATACTCGTACCTATCATGAAGCAAGAACGCGCAACTCTCCCAACACCTAACTCGACAGACTCGTTCTGGCACACCGAACCGAATGAGTTCCTGATCGGCCACCGCACAACGGAGGAATTGCCTGCTGAGGCTGACATCGTTATTGTGGGGTCTGGAATAACGGGCACAAATGCAGCCAGGTATCTCTCGGAGGATCAGAGAGCTGCCGGTAAGAGTATCGTTCTGCTCGAGGCCCGAGAGGCATGTTGGGGCGCTACAGGAAGGGTAAGTCGACTTCTTAATCTCGCGATCGTCTGATCGGAATCTACGGTGCACATCTGCTGACGATTGCGCAAACAGAATGGTGGACACTGCCAGCCCCTCCTCTTCGACCGAAGTAGCGATGTAGCCGAGTTCGAGCTCAAGAACGTCGCTGCGGTGCGATCCTATATTCAGGACAACAACGTGCCTTGCGAGTGGCGCGACGTAACTGGCTGCCGCACGTTCTGGACTGAAGAGGCGATGAGCGAGGCTGAAAAGGAAATCGAACATCTCAGGAAAACATCACCTGAAATCGCACGCCATGTTACCATCCTCAAGGAAAAGGAGGAATTTAAGAAGCACCGCGTCACACCCGAGTGTGTTGGATTGACACTAAGTGAAGGAGCTGCGAGTCTATGGCCGTACAAACTAGTTACCTTCATGCTCGAGAAGCTCGTTAAGAACGGCCAGCTCAACCTACAGACCAAGACTCCCGTCACCGAAATTACCTCGTCAGACGGCACGCACACTCTCCACACGCCCCGCGGCACCATCAGCAGCAAGACCGTCATTCTCGCGACCAATGGCTACACATCAGCTCTCCTACCCCACTTCGCCGATCTCATCGTGCCCTGTCGTGGAGAGATGTCAGCCCTGATCCCACCTGCAGGAATGACGCTCTTGCCAAACTCGTACGGCATGGTTGCGGCTCTAGGCCAACCAGCCAACAACGACGACTACCTCATTCACCGTCCATTTGAGGGCGTTCCAAACCCTGGTGGTCATCTGATGTTTGGTGGCGGCCGCGGAGCAGGACATTATCCAAGCATAGGCGTTTCTGATGACACTGTAATCGATGAAGGCTCTGCTGCATACCTTCGCGGTGCGCTGTTAAAGGTTATGGAGCTAGGTGGGCAGACGGAAGGTCTGAGTGAGCTTAAAGCTGCCGCACAGTGGACTGGCATCATGGGTTATTCGCGTGATGATCACCCATGGGTTGGTAAGGTGCCGGGCAATGAAGGCTTATGGCTCGCCGGTGGATACACAGGACACGGTATGCCGAACGGCACATTATGTGGAAAGGCTGTTGTCGACATGGTACTCGGTGAGATGGACGGCAAAGACCTGACCGCTGTACACGAGGAGATGGTTCAAAAGGGCGATATGCCCAAGAGCTACATCCTGACAAAAGAAAGGATCGATCGATCAAGACAGATGCTCACAGTACAGCAACAGGATGCACAGGGAGTACACATGAACGGTGTTGTATAGATCTCAATGATGATACCGTTGGCCCGTTCTTGCGCCGATTTTCGTCATGTCGAAAGTGTTGAGCTTGCTCATCTTACCAGCTTGATTGAAATGTGTACATGATATTACCGGCCGTGGAGCTGTCACCGCCTTGTCTTGTGACAGAATCTTGACTCTCTAGGGTCAATCAACATGCGGACAATAGCGTCTAAGGCGCGTGGACGCTACTCCGCTTTCCCGCGGTCCCCATTGGGGTACCAAGCCCGATCGGATTACCAATTTCTTGCTTCATGGTATCACGCTTCCACAAAGCCTGACTCATATGTATGAACCTCAACATAACGTACATATCTAGAAAAACATCCACGAAACTCATTCTATACCTGGTAAACGATTTCACTTGAGTCACCATTGCAATTGCGAAAACCCGATCACCAATCCCCAAACTTCAACATGCCAGCTCACCCTCTCCCCACGAAGATTGGCGTTGTAATCTTCCCCGGATTCCAACTCCTAGACTGGGCCGGTCCCTTGGACGCCTTTAATATCCTGTCCAACAACCACACCCTCAGCCTCTGCACCATCGCCTACACTCTAGATCCAGTGCCGACTCAGAACTTTATGCAAGACAAACAAGGCTCCCAATTCTCACAGTCCATGGTTCCCACGCATACATTCGAGAATGCGCCGGATGATCTGGAGGTATTGCTTCTTCCAGGAGGTCTAGGAGCACGCGGACCGGGCAGCGACGCATGGATGAAGCCACAAGTTGAATATCTAAAGAGATTGGATCTGAGTGGGAAAGGAAGTATCAAGTGGGTTCTGACCGTTTGTACAGGCAGTGAGATTCTGGCTCGGACTGGTTTGTTAGATGGCAGGAGGGCGACGACTAACAAGCGTGCTTTCAACGATGTATGTTGGACCTCCTCTTTCATAGTCATATCGGATTGGTAACTTACTATTCTGTTCAAGGTCAAAACTCAGCATCCGAACGTCGATTGGGTTGCAAAGGCTCGTTGGGTTGTCGATGGCAACATCTGGACTAGCTCTGGTATCTCGGCTGGTATGGATCTGGCGTTTGCGTGGATGGCGGAAGTATTCGGTGAGGAGACCGCGCAGTTTGTGGCGGATCGGAGCGAGTATGAGAGGAACGTTGACTCAGGAAATGATCGGTATGCCGAGAGATGGGGAGCTGTGTAGGCCGACACAGAAGCACTGGTAAAACTGGTGTGGATTCCGATCTATAGGGGGGATAGTTCTTTCGAAAGTAATGCTTCCTGTCTTTTAGCAGGATCATTTGATCAAGACTCCGTCAGGATGATCCCCTCTACATTACCACATCACGTCCTGGGTGGCCGGGCAGTCACTGTAGTGTGAAAATAGAAAGGTCTTGTCTATAATGACTATCGCTATGCTAAAAAGGCTATCAAGATCGTAATGCTAAGATTTTGCGGAGCGACCGCTACAACAGACGAAAATATCCACATGTCTAGAATTGTCGATTCCGAAAAGAAGAAGGCTACTTGTTACGACGGAAAGCAGCAAAGGGAGGGAAGAAGTATGCGGGGTGGAAGCACACAAGCACCGTGCAAGCAATAGCTAACATCCTGGTTATCATTGTTAGTGTTCTATCTTTGGTTGTGAAGGACATGGATCATGGAAACTTACATGCCGTCGAGCAAGAGGAACTCTTTCTCGTTTCGCATCAGCGAATTTCCCCATCCACCAGCCATCTCTGATAAACGGTAGATGCATCGAATGAGCACAGTAGTGTATGCCAACACGACGATCCATCCAAACAGCTTGATCTTGGCAAGCTTCACAGCGCCTGTCTCCTTGTCCATTTCGTACGTGCTCTTCTCCCCAATGGTAGCCTGGTTCTTGCGGGCCTTGCGGTATCGGAAAATGTAAACGAGGACCAGTCCACCACATACAGCCATGGTGACAACCTGAAACGCAATACCAGCTACGATGAGGTTGTTGCCGCCATCGATAAGCTTCTTGTTTGTTGTGCCACCTGCGGCCGCCATACCACCACCACATGCCTGGAGTACAATGGAACCGAAGTCGCAGCCGATGAAGATCCAGGGATAGAGACGTGCCTTGAGGAGCGAATGCTGGGGTCCGCAGTATAGCACAAAGTGTTTCAGGGTGAGATAGATGCCAGCCGCGACAAAACTAGGACCAAGGACCAGACAGCAGATTTGTAGTTTGAAACCAGATTCGCTCCAGGGGTTGTCGTTCATGATGACGCGCCCAGCGTATCCTGCAGCTTCAAGAAAAGTTCCAATTGCCAGTGCAGCTGTGTAGGTCCATGTCTTGCTCAGAACTCCAATTACTAGCGTGGCGATGCACAGAATGGCGAAGAGGGCGCAAAGAAAGGCATTAGCTCCTAGGTTGGGACGGTACCCGTATAGTGTTGCAAACACTGGACATTCTGGGCTAACTTCCAAACATTGTCGGAAGTTTCCTTTCGGTCGGTCTTCTTGCGCGGACACAACGACGAGTAGTTGCGTTGCGATGGCGAGCGTGGCCAACAGGCCTGTACGTGCGTAGGAACGCATAGGGTCGGCGAGATGAACGTAGAACCAGATCAGTCGAAGGAACGGACGACGAGAGCAATGGTACGTGATAAGAGACCGTTGCGAGAAGAGACCCAAGCAAACGCGAGGGACGTGGGAGGTGGACTAATTATTCCGGTGGGGGGTGGCTTCACTGACACCTAGCCCTTTATCGTGCAGTGTATATCCACCTGCCGTATACACCGTGTTCATGTCCAAACTGCGCCTCTAATCTCTTTTGCCTCTTTGAAGCTCTAAGCGAGGTATGCTTTGCCGTGCTTGACCGCGCGCCATTGGGCTCGCTTAGATTCATTTGACATGGCCAAGGCGTCAGCGTCAACGATTTTGGGTGGGCCGCGGCTTTGAGATGAATCTGACCGGGTGTATGGGTCGCTTCGATACCGTTGGATCTCCCTTGTTTGTCAGCGCACGTGTTGAGACGGCAAGGTGGGTTTCGCTTCCATTTGGGGTGTCGGAGTGCGAGGCATCTGTGCTATCTAGAGTTCATCTGGGGACGAAAGAGTTGTTGGATGACGATATGCTAGTGACTTTGTGGTGTGGCGTCGTTCGGCTGTAGTTTACGGGTTGCCGTGTTCCCGGCCGTCAGCTGTTTGTTCCGGCTGTTCAGCCATCCGCCTTCTAGTGTTTTGGAGGGGGACGCGATAGGTTGTCTCGTCCTTGTCGCGAAATCTTCGTAAGCGCACGCGCATGTCGGGCGGATGCTTACAGTGTAGTCTCCCAAATGAGTAGATCTAAGCAGGCTTAGTCGCTTTCAGCACGTGTAGACTGCGCTAGTTCACTTGGCTTCCCTAGTCGTTGCTTCCTTCAACGGTTGACCGCGGCTCTTCATTAGTACCAACCCCGCGGATATCAATCGCGTCATTATCCCTGGGGGTATGCTACTAAGCGTCCGAATTGAAGCGCAGCATCGAAGAGTAGATACCACGAACGAATCTCAAGAGCACGATGATGCATCGCAAGAATACGACTGATGTTGCTCAAACAGTAGAGCGTGTAAAGTAATGCTCATATTCGTGATCTCATCAAACCATGCCACGATTTCAAACGCCATATAATGCAGAGAGCCCGCCCGAAACGCCCAGCAATGCCATGAATGTGTACATCCTGCTCAACCCTCCACATCCTCAACCCTAATCCACCGCTCTTCCAACGCAAGCACTACCAACTCCTTCGCACTACCCAACCCCTCTTCTCTACCCAGCGCGACAGGACATAGTAGCTCACTGACCCTCTGCAAGACCTTGTACAGCCTCATAGCCTTCTTCTCAACTTTCTTCGTATCTACCTCATCGCGTTTGGAAATAATGGGACGGGAGGAGACGTGGTGTGGTGCTGAAGAGATAGCAGCAAGGTGATTCAGTAGTTTGTGGAGGAGGAAGTGCAACCAGACGAGATTTGTTTTGGGATGGAAATCGCGCCAAACGTCGGCGTCGTCTTCTTCAGGCTGCTCCTCCTCTGCTTTGGGACTTTGCTCAATGTCAGGTGCAGCCACGTCCTCGTGCTTCCTAGGCGACCTTCGGAGCGCTGATGGCTCCTCGTCTTCCGAGTCGAAGCGAATGTGGTTGTTCTTCCTAGGTGTGTGTCGAGGCGTGACGGGCACTTGCTCTGGTTCCTCCTCTTCTTGTTCCTCTTCCTCCTCTTCCGGTGCATCGAACGATTCATCGTATATAACATGTAGTGGGTTATCGAAGACCGCCACACCGCGCATGTAACGGTATATTTCGTACTGGTATTCCTCACTTGCGTCGCCGTGGAAGAGCGCGAGATCCTTGTTGAGATCCAGATAAGCGACATTGGCCGTTTCCTCAGTTGCAGACGCGGCTGTGGAGCTTGAGACGTGCGACATAGCTGATATCCTTCGAGACTGGGACGAGGAAGCAAGGATGTCCGCGCGTGACAAGGTGTAGTCAATAACTGTTGTATCCAGACCAGCGAAACGGAGTTTGCGGCGCAGAGGGTCTTTGATAGAGGGCTTCATTACGTCCCCACCTGTGCGTGAAGATCGAACGCAAATGTTACCAAGGTGCAAGTCGCGATGCTCGAATCGACATGCCTCTTCTGCTTTCCCAACACTAATCGCCACGCCCCAGAAGACATCCCAGGCTTCCCATATCGAAGACATGCCTCCCGTTTCCATGAGCTTCTCAACATCCGTACCAGCGTCTTGCATCTCTACCACCGCCCAGAGCTGGAACTCATCATAGCTAGCCTTCTTGCTGGGGTCAGGAAATTCGCTCTTCTTCCCACGTGGCCGCGCCTTGTTCCATTCCTTCCATGCGTCGTTGAAGGAAGCCGAAGGTCTACCTTGCACAATCGTAAGGTCGCGGAAGACGGTAAAACCAGGTATGTGAGTGAGATTCTGGAGGAGCTTAACCTCTGAAGCAACATCATCAACCTGTGATTTGTAGGCATCGTCCTGTTCACGTTGTTCCATCTCTTTCTCCAGTTGAGCCTCTCTATCGCGAACTGCACGAGCATGCAATTGGCTTGGTAGGGGAACAGCTGGTGGTGTCTTCAGCGCTACGACTTTGAGCACTGACTCCTCTTTGACTCCATTTGCGGGCGATATCGCAGACAGCCTGTATACCTCCGAGAAGGAAGCTTCTGCAATCTTGGTGACTTCAAAGTGCGGTGCCAGCTCGTCTGACCACTCCTGAAACCCTATGACCTTCTTTCTATCGCTGAGCACCAACAGCGGGGAAGCATAAGAGGTGTAGACATCTTCAGGCTCAGGTGTCGGCTCAGGCGTAGGTAAGCATGTTGCTCGTTGTATCGACGCTTGTTTTGAACGAACTGGATCTATCTGTACTGGAGTTATTATAGGTGTGGCAACAACGTCTTGGGCCACCGCAATAGGCACCACACGTTTCTTCTCTTTCTTCGGTTTCAGGGCTGATCGGTCTAGTTCGTGGGCATTGTTCATGGCGTTGATGTTGCGGTCGCTTAGTACCTTTCGGGGTTTACGTGGTTCCTTGAGTAGCTTGGACTCGTCCTCCTTCAGAGCCTTGATTGATAGAGCTTGCATGTCTTGTTCCAACACATCCTCAAATGGGACAACATTCTCTTTCGTAGTAACCTCAATGCGCTCAGGTTTCGCTTTCCGTGATTGTGATCGTTTCCGTGAGGTACTCTCATCTTCCGTAGGCTGTGTCTGCTCTATCCGTAGTTTCCCCAATCCCTGCTCCAACACCGAGATATCGTCTCTTTCTGGTTGTGTTGGCCGCCGCCGATCACGTGCTGTGCCGCTAGTCACATTTTTGTCCTCGACTTCTCTGTGGGCAGCCTCTTTCTCGGGAGACAGGAATTTTGTAAATGCCGCCCGCTCTCCATTCCTCTTCTTTCCGTATACAACTTTTGCAGGCATGTTCGAGAGCCTGAGCGAGTGGTGTAGTTTGGTTGACGATAAGTTGGGGCTCCAGTTTGGAAGTGCCAGGGTTTGGAGGGGTCAACGACGGAAAGTCTAAGCGAGCCGTTTCCCTGGCAACAAAGAAGACCCGGCGCAAAGCTTCTCCTGAGTACGACTTGTCAGGAGCCATTCATTATGCGCTTGACAGAGTGACGTAGGTGAAACTCCAAAATTATGCACAGATGATACACTGGAAAGATCGTTCATGGAAGCCCGGAAACGGTTCCGCAGAATTAACATTAAAACCAACAGGTTCTCTGTATTGTAACAGGGGTCTCTAAGCATCCTCCCAATGCGATGTCAAACAAACGCTCTCCTCAAACAAGCGTTCAAATCATGTATGTGTAAGGTGAGACTCCAATCTCCCCGCACTAGACCTAGAAGCAGATTGCATACAGAAGATGCCCAGATGACCGGCAGACGGGCAGAAACAAGGTGACCAAACGCTGAAGACAAAAAGACGATGAGTGATTGGACAAATGAAAATTGGGGCCTTTGGAAAACGTAGAGGGCTTTGGAAGTGGTGTTGTGACAATTTACAACCGAGTGAATTTTGGTGATTGGTAGCGTGAGAGGATTCGTAGATCGAAAAGCTCAGTTGTCTCCACTGTCAACCTCAGCTGGCGGTGTCTCGGCCTCCTCTTGTAGTATGGGTTGCTGTGGTATGACACTTAGACTTTTGCGTTTGTTCTTTCTCTCTACATCTCCATCTCTCTTCACACCATTTGCTTCTGGATTAGCGGCGGTAGTCGGGCTCAGGGTGCTGCTCGACTTTTTGTTCGGAGCAATGCTCGAATAGCCGCCGGAGAGCTTCGATGTGGTGTCGTTGTTCTCAGACTTGTCGGCAAAGTCTTTCCACTTGCGCCATCCGTCAAAGTCAATCAAGGCTTGCATGCAACCCCATTCTTTGACCTTGCGCTCGAGCCAGACGAAGTTGACAGGCTGTGACGTGAGTTAGTGGGAGTGCTTCCATATACAACATGAATTCTTACCTTGGTCAAGAAGTCGTTACAACCAGCCGCCAGAGCCTCATGTCTGTCGCTTTGCAGCGAACTGGCTGTGAGTGCGACAATAATGACGGGGCTCTTGAACATGCCCTTGTCACCAAGACGATCATCCTCGACCAGCTCGTTTTGCTCTTTGCCCTCTGATCCAAGCCTATTGTTAGGGGCCTCGCTGCTGCCACTGCTGAAGACACCGATGCTGTTGACACGCTCCAGCCGCCTGATCTCCTTTGTTGCCTCCAGACCGTTCATGACGGGCAGCTGAATGTCCATAAGCACCAAATGGAAACCACCTGCCTTCCACTTGGTTACTGCCTCTTTTCCGTTCATGGCACGCTGCCACCGAACCTTCAAACGCTGCATGAAGGCACCCAAAACTCGCAAGTTGATGATGTTGTCTTCTACAATCAGGACATTGATAGGCGGGACTGAGCCATCCAGAAGGCCAGCTGGCAGACTTGGTGGCTCCACCGGTGGCTTTCTCCGCTTCTTCTTTGGGTTCGGTTGAGGTGAGGATATACGCGGGGTGGGTGGAGTAGATTCATGGAGAGTTTGTGAGTGTGATGGAGGTT